CCAACGGGCTCCCCTTCCATTAAGGCGCTCTGCCGTCGGGGAGTGAAACCAGTGGTCTCTCCTCCCTGTAATGTACACTGCCACTGGGGATCTGGGCCGACTGCCCAGCATCCCTGTAAGGCCGGTAGAGAGATCTCGGTCCCATCTCCACCTGCCATCTGTGGGTCTCTCCAGGACCAGTCTATGAGGTCCCCTACTTCTGCAGCTGGTAGTGAAGCAGGGGGTACCTTGGCCGCGTTTTCCCAGCTGTAGGCTAGCAGGTCTGGGTCCGCCACCCAGTTTTCCCGGTCTGCGTCCATACTCTGCGGCTGGCATGAATTTAGTAGTTCCACATAGTCCATCTCCAGTTCTCGTTCCATGGCAGTGAAACGGCGGAGGTCTTCTCCCAGTCCAACAGATCTCGGGCCCTGTAACATCTCACCTCGGTAATGAAAGATAGCCCAGTACCGTGACTCTGCTGGACTGCCAAAGTCGACGTCTTCCGGTAAGGCCTTCCACAACAGGCCAGGGCTAGTGTAGTTCTCCCCCTCCGGCTGGATGCCCTCTGCCCTCCACATCTCTGGCTGGACAGTGCACCACCACAGTGCCCGGTATGAGGCGTCAAGGCTCAGTTCCATTTCCACGAGGTACTTAAGTTGTTTTACCTGCTTCCCTCCGGGTTGGTCTCCCAGAAGCGGCATCCGCCAGGCCATTTGTTCCTCCAACTGGTATGCGACACCAGGGAGGCGTTGCTGCCGTTGATACTGGACTTCCTCCAGGGCATCGTACCATAATTCTTTCCGGGCAATAGCTCTCCATTATAATTCACTCTCTTCCTCAGGTGTGTGTGTTGCCCAGGGGTCCACGAACCCCATTTTCCGAAATCTTTATGTAGACAGGGACGCTGTATGAACACTAGCATCGCCCTCAATTTGTAAATCCACAAACAGTGTCTCTGAGCTGCTTTAACTCCCACTAGGACGCCATCCCACCGCTTGCCACCAATGTAACGGATCACCTGGCACCCCGACTGGGTACCTCCATTAAAGGATGCTCCTAGCGCTTCCTGGCAGACACCACAATCACCGAACCGGAGAAGCATATGAGTACTTTTAAGCATATGAATGTTGTATACAGGAAAAACCATGCGAATAGGTTTACACTCCTAGCAGTCAAACTGGAACAGCATACAATAAATCCTCCCCCAATAATGAGACGACACTTCACTTTGAGGGTTAAGCAGGAACTTCCTGTAATGGCCACACACTGGCTTTTATGCAAGTCCCCATGCAAGGGGACATCCCACAGGGTGGGACACAGTACAACCAATCATTTACAGGAGAACCGTAAAACACACCCAGCACAAACATACATCCTTCCCCTCTACCTGTGATATAATTACTGAACACAATGGGTTAATGTAATTTATCACAGGCATGAAAAATACACTTTTTATACATACACTGTAACTTTAAAAATATGCATCATATTCACATAAAACATACATATTCAGAATCAACATACTTTAAATATAAACATAACCAAAATTCAGCCAATTCCATCCAGGGGTTAAAAAGTTAAGGGAAAGTCCTGTTTGACCAAATGAAGTATGTTTTTTCTGCCCAAAACCAGTTCCACAGAGTCTTCTATCCTGGAGATAATTGGGAAGTAATCCAATTATCTCCAAGGACAGAGGCAAAACTCCATTAGCCACATGGCAGACAAAGGACAATAAAATACATAAAAATACAATAAAATACACAAGGTTACATTATTACATAAAATAAAGACATGCAACATATCCCCAGATAGCTTAGATCTGAGCGCACATTATTACCGAATGGCGATCAGACCACACACATACAGTTCAATTGCCATGGTGCCAAAGTCTTTTATTACACGAATAGGCTCCATGGCATAGCTATCTGGGTTAAATTAGTTAATTCAGTACATCCGAGAATCTACCGAACGCCAGGGCAGAAATACATGAATAGACCTTTTTGCATAGGAAAATAAAGTATTTAAATGCCGGTCCATAGTCAAAAGGCAGCAGGCAGGCAACCAGGCTCCTCCAGTGCACAGTGGCGAGGTTGGCTCCGCCACACAAACAGACTTGGAGAAATGATCCGTGAGCACCCCGGACATCCCCAAGCCGATCCGTGTGGGATCAGACTGTGTATGCCGGTGTGGCGGAACCAACCTCGCCACTGGGCATTGGAGAAGACTGATTGCCGGCCTCCTGCCCTGTGACTATGGCCCCATGTTGAAAGGATGGATTTTCCCCTGCAAAGACCCAAAAGCT